GGGGGGGGGAGAAGACATTATATGTATGTTACAAAAAATTTAATTTGACTTAAATTGTGAATTTTTAAAATTAAATTTGCCAGAGCATATTCCAAGCTAATACGAAAAATTAAAGCTAAGTCCAGGTACAGCATGTCTTGAAGAGATGGCAACATTCCTTGAAAAGGTGCCTACTTGGACTTCTTAGCCTACCATCCAAGACTCAAACAAAACACCTGAAGGGGTGAGACCATAAAGTGGAACAGTACTAAGGATGCTGTCCGACATACCACCAACTGTTACTGAAAAGCAGAGCTGATTCCAAGGGAATGCTGCTCTGGTGCTCAGCAAGAGGCCTTCGGATCCTGACTGAAATACTCTGAGAATGGCAGATGGTAGAAGGAAAAAAAGTTAAAAGACAGCCTTAAAGATTCACAACCCCATAGCTGCTGTTCTTAATGAAATGATTGCAGAATAAGAGTTTGGGTAGTCAGCACAAAGCATTTCTAGAAAATGTTCCAAATGTCACCAGGAGAGATGTCCCCGGCTTCCGTCCCCTTCCCCACTGTTCCCAAATGCTGGGTGTTTGGAGGGTCTCACTCACCCACCATGGTCTCTGGTCTGAGGTCAGAGGTCAGAGGAAGGGGAGATTTGGAGAACCTTGGACACTCACCTAGGGTATAGCAGAGCAAATAATGGTCACTGGCTGGGCACTTGTTTTATAGCACTCATACTGATTTTGCTTTTTAAAACATCACTTTTTCTTCAAACATTTATATGAAGGCAAATGATGTGTTTAAGCCTCTGACTCAATATAGCAGATAAATTTGTAGAAACCACATTCAGACCAGATTTAGTGAAATCAACACCTGTTTTCAAGTGAAAAGAAGCTCTGCAAACATTGAGACATAAGTGAAATTCTCTCTGTTGCTAAAATGTCTCTCAGGTATTGAGATGAGCCACTAACACCTGCACTATTTACTATTGAAGTAAATAGTAATATGGTAATATTACTAATAGTAGTAGTAGTAGTAAATGTGGCCACACTGGTGGGTAGAAGGGAAAGAGAGACCCTCTGCTAACCTGGGTATGTAAAAATCTCTTGGGGTTCCTTGTGTACTCTTTTTTTAAAAAAATAAATATATTTTTATTGATTTCAGAGAGAGGAAGGGAGACAGAGAAACATCAATGATGAGAGAGTCATTGATTGCCTGCCTCCTACACGCCCCCCCACTGGGGATTGAGCGAAACCCAGTAATACGCCCCGACCAGGAATGGAACTGAGATCTCCTGGATTATAGGTTGATGCTCTACTGCTGAGCCACACCAGCCGGGCATGTTGTGTACTCTTATATGGACCTTCCACCCTCTGCCAGAATTGCAACAATTATGAACAAATAATAGGAGCTAAATCTGGGCAGGCATTTCCCCATGGAAACCATCTTCTTATGTTCTTTTTTTACCCCCTTAATTACCTTGGCATACATTTTTAGATAGTGTGTTGATATTAATAGTCAGTCAAAGGCAATGAATTATGATGAAGTTTATATGAGTTGATAGGTTTTTGTCTTGCTGATATTAGTTTTCTTTCTAAAAACCCAGATAAAATGAGTGATTTCTTAGGAAAATGCAATTTACCCAAATTGATACAAGTAGAGACAGAAAGCTTAAACTAATCAATATTCATAGAAGAAATAAAGTTTTTGAGAAATAACAAAAAAAGCACAAAGAGGTACCAGCTTAGATCACTGTACAGGGAGACTCAAGTACACTTTTAGAAACTTGGTAGCCCCAATATTTTAAATTTATTTCAGAATATAGCAAAGAAAGACAAATTTACAAATTATTTTAATAAGTATAACATGAACACCTAATCCTCATGATAGCACAAAAAGCCACAGACCTATATCATGACGATTGATACAAAAATCCTAAATGCAATATTAGAAGTAGATTCCCAAGCCACTAAGAAAAGAACACACCATAACCTGGTAGTGTATTTTTATACCAGGAGTGCAAGAATCAGGTTAGGATTTTGTTAGGAAATTTGTTAATAGAGCACACAATACTAATGGGTCCAAGGAGAAAAATATGATTACCTTCACAGATGCTGAAAAGGCCTTTGAAAAAATTCAACAGCTATTTCCTTTAAGACACAAAATTGCAATGAATGGATATTTCCTTAACATGATAAAATTAAGATTGCCCAATAAATTACACAAATGGAAAATGTATGCACTAAAAAATTATTTGTTGCCCCGCTGGCATGGCTCAGCAGTTGAGCATCGACGTATAATTCTATGATCCAGGAGATGGAGGTTTGATTCCTGGTCAGGGCACATGCCCAGGATTGCGGGCTTGATCCCCAGTACGGGGCGTGCAGGAGGCAGCTGATCAGTGACTCTCATCATTTATGTTTTTCTCTCTCCCCCCTTCTCCTTTCCTCTCTCTGAAATCAANATTGCGGGCTTGATCCCCAGTATGGGGCGTGCAGGAGGCAGCTGATCAGTGACTCTCATCATTTATGTTTTTCTCTCTCCCCCCTTCTCCTTTCCTCTCTCTGAAATCAATATATATTTTTAAAAATATTTTTGATAGGAAATTAGAATCTCACTGGGTGTCCTGTATTTCAATTTGCTAAATCTGGCAATCGTGGATAAAGTGTACATGCCTTAATCCTAACGATGGTTCTTACTTAATGGAGAAATACTAGAGGCATTTGCATGGTGGTCAGAAATAAGGCAAGAATTTTTAGTTTTCAGCTGCTTCATTGCAAACTGAATATATCCTTAGAAATCCTTTCCAGCAAGAAGTGTCTTTGTTATGGGCCCCAGAATTATGTTGAATAATAAAAGTTGGGAAGACTGAAGAAATATTACCACAAAGTACCTCAAATTAAAAAAAAAAAAAGTTTAAGCCAATAAACACTATTCAAACACGCTTCAGAAGGTGACGGCATCAAAAGTCTAGAGTTGGTGACCGTTTTACTGATGCCGTGTGAAAAATGTTCAGTGATCTTGACGTCTAGCCAGTAATGACATGTTGTGTATGGATCGTCCTCAGTGTCGTAGTCTGAGACTCTTTGACAGGGGTATCACAAGTCAATATTTTATTCTTCCAATAAAATTGAATTTAGAAAATTTAAAGTCAAGATTTCCTATAAAACACAAGTAGTAAAATCTGCATGATCCAACATCTGGAGTGGGGTGGGGTGGCAAGCGCTGTGGTTCAGTAGTACATTGGCGTTGTATTTTCACTTTTAGCGTGCTTGGCTAACACTGCAGCTTCTGAAAGGGGCCTGGATTTCAACCCTGTTTCCACATTCACTAGTCAAAGGCCCTGGCAAGTGATTCTCTTCCGTTTCTTTCCGTGGTTGTGAAGGTAAGTAAGAGAATGTAATATCCTTAAGAGTACAGCGAGCACAATAAATGCTGGCAATTCTTCAGAGTATTTCGGAAGGAAACAACGTATTTACTGTGTTAACACTTAGTATGTCTATATTCATCCCACACGCACGAAATAGGCGGCCTGCAGCCGACCACGCGGCCCCGACCTGACAGACCGGAGGAAAGGCCCCGGCACTAACCGGACGCAGCTCATACAATTTACATAGAAGTCAAGATCCCACAGTGTGCGCCAGGAGGCAGAGCCCCACTGTTTGCAGAGTCGGCGGGCGCTCGGCGGGCGGGAGAAGTCGCGGGGCTGATCAAGAATCCCTGCCCCGCAGCCCGGGGGGCGCTGCCCCGGGCGGGGTCCGCGGCCGTTGG